AGGCCAGGTCTTCACAACACGTCTGTCCCGTTTCACAGTGCCACACTCTGCAGGCAAAGAACAGGACCATGACTGACCATCTGAAGAGCTCCTTCATTTCATGCTAAATAGCACCTGCGATTTTTACCATTTTTACACATATTTTAATAAAACAAGTATGGACCAAACAATGTAACATACGCTCACCAATAAGTGGTAGTCTCTTTGTTTTATGTATGATAAAATAAGATTACACTGATATAATCAATTAACAGTCATACTACATAAGATCAAATATCCTATTTGGAGCTGTGTACAAATAAAAAAGGTCCATGTTGCCACAATCTCCCTTCATCTGGACACTCCTAAAATGAGTAAGATTCTTACAGAGCACTACTGTGTAGAAAGAGCATGCACAGGACTAGTGACATGTGACAGTCTGTCAGGGATCAAGCACCACTTATGAAGGAAACAGAAGTGGATTCATTCAGCTTCCAATAGGATTTTTGGAAGCGGGTTTGATATTGTTCTAAAAACAGGTCTTCTGCTGCCGCACAGTTCTACACCGTCTAGGTTTCAAGGAGGCGATGTCAATTTCCTTGGCACACTGAGCCGTGGATAACTGACAGACTGAAGGAACTAAATGCTTTTTTAAAATTCTTGAACACAGACGACTATGAGGGAACCAGATACAAGTACAGTATAGCACATCTTCAAAGGCCATGGCAAGGCTAACCAAGAGGACTCGTTCAGAACCAACAGTGAAGCATAAACCAGAGGACACCAGAGGAACTGAGAACAGTAGGCAGTTTACACCCCGGGCTCCAGAGCAATAGGTATGGGGGGATGTGCAGTAGCCAGAGATGTTACATTTGAGTCCAAGATATGATGAGAGAAAGATGAGCAGAAGCATGCTCAGGAAGGGAGATACTTATGTTTAGAAGACAGGAAGTTTAATTCTGAACGGACATTTAAAAACTCAATTTTGTCTGTTCTTGTGATTCATTTGCCATTTTCATTTTTGCTAGTCCCTGTATTTTTATATTAATGTAAACTATAAGAGAATCTAAGTCACTGATATACTGCAGATCAGGAAGATCTAACACTGATCCCTTCAATACACTGCTGCTTACAACTGGACCTCTCATCAAGTGGAAGTCATGCTGCTTGTGATGATGAACCGTCATGAGGAAGAATATACTTATATATCCTTACTGAAAAGTTTAAAGCTATTTTGCAGTTTTGCTGACATTCAAATTTGGGCAATTAAAATTTGCAGACAAAGATTTGTCTTGAAAGGTAAATTAAATACTTAAATATGAGCACATTACTGAAATAAATATAATAACACAATATAGTTTTTAAAACTGTTATGTGCTTTTCAAAATTACTCTGGATTTCATTCATGGCATTTCCCTGTTTTGAGCACTTCCAAATCAAAACTACTTTTAAGTTTGTTAAAATATGTTTTGTATTCTTACCTGAGAGCTTCTGATGTAAAAGGTATCAATCTCTGTACATTCTCTTCTAATGCAGTATAGCATTGTGTCAGAACTATTTCAGCGCTTTCTGTAACTGAAAAGAAATAGGCAAGTTCTGAACACTGTGAAGGTGTAAAGATTTGTCCTGAAAGTTTTCCGGAATATAGGAATGCATCAA